CCCCGAACACCAGGGCTGCCATTTTGAAGCATCATCTCATGTTGGTTGTTTTCCTCTGAGCTCTTTCCGGTTTGTCTTTGGTAGCAACAGACAGATTCATCATCAAGACTTCTGAAGGGACCAGGCCAAAGGCCATTACAGGAGTCAGCACATGCCTCACGCCAATCATTCATTCCCTGCCAGTTGGAACAGACGTCGCTCCACAGGACTTTCAGCCACATTCGCATAGCATCATCTCATGTTGGTTGTTTTCCTCTGAGCTCTTTCCGGTTTGTCTTTGGTAGCAACAGACAGATTCATCATCAAGACTTCTGAAGGGACCAGGCCAAAGGCCATTACAGGAGTCAGCACATGCCTCACGCCAATCATTCATTCCCTGCCAGTTGGAACAGACGTCGCTCCACAGGACTTTCAGCCACATTCGCATCGACTTGACCAGAGGGCAGCATGCCCAAGCAGCAACCCTCCTGCTAATTGCTAGGAAAGCCAGACCCCTGCAGCCCTTCCTCTTGGCTGGTTTCTAGGACTATGTCTGGCTCTCGGCTGACTGGATTGAGCTCATTAATTGGGGTTTTCCATTTAAATTCAATGAGATTTGGTCTCCTAAGGCGGTTGGAAACCCCCACTCTGATGAGCTGTTCTGATGGAAACAGCGAGTGCAAACTAGTAGCTGGGGATCCACGTTTATTGTCTCTCAGTGGTTCATGCATCAAAGGTGCCCAGCTCATGAGGGAAATGATGGCATTGTGATTGACAAGCCTCCAAACGCTGTCCTGGGATCTTTGAGCCAAGCTGGGTTTGTTCCATCTCCTGCATCCTCACAAGAATCATAGAATCATAGAATAATAGGACTGGAAGGGACCTCAAGAGGTCATCGAGTCCAGCCCCCCGCCCTCAAGGCAGGACCAAGCTCCACCTACACCATCCCTGACAGATGTTCCGTGGGACAAACTAGACTCAGTGATGGGCAGGCAGCCCCATTCTCTGGAGCTGATGCCTGGTGCTGTTCTTAGTAAAAAATCACCTAGGCTGTGTCTACACTGGCATGAATTTCCGGAACTGCTTAAAACGGAATACTATTCCATTTTCAGTTTTTCCGGAAAAGGAGCGTCTACATTGGCAGGCTGCTTTTCCGGAAAAGCCCTTTTTCCGGAAAAGCGTCTGTGGCCAATGTAGACGCGCTTTTCCGGAAAAGACTACTGGGCTGTCTACACTGGCCCTTTTCCGGAACAGTGTTCTGGAATAAGGACTTATGCCTGAGCGGGAGCAGAATAGTTTTTCCGGAATAGCAGCTGATTTTGTACAGTAGAGCATCGTTGCTTTTCCGGAAATTCAAGGGCCAGTGTAGACAGCTCGCAGCTTATTCCGGAAAAGCGGCTGATTTTCCGGAATAAGTGGCCCAGTGTAGAGACAGCCCTAGAGTTTGCAACAAAGATCAGGGCTGCTCCAGCGTGCTTGGTGCTGTACAAACACATAGCAAGAGACAGCCTCCTCCCCAGGAGCTTGCTATCTCAACAGACAAGAAAGACCAAAGCTGGGAAGGGAAGCAAGTAGAAACGATTGTGGCCAATGGTCACACAGGTGCAGAGCCTGTTGGGAACGTTTCGACAACTGCACAGAGGAAATGAGCAGTTTGGGGCGCCGCTTGCAGAGCTGGGCAAACAATTGATTTCTCACTGTAGTGTCAGTTCTGGGAGGGGAGGACGGACAGAGCAGGGAAGGTGCATGTCAAAGCTTTCTGAACGGATCTGTCATCTGAAAAAGGCCCTTTTGTGTTTGCCTGGGAGATCCCAGCCTGGGGCAAGGGATGGATAACAGGCAGCAAGCAGTGTAACCCTCCTCCCCACTCCCACCCCCAGGACGATTTCTTCCTCCTCCGCTGACTGATCTGAGAATGGCCAAAGCCAAGTGTGTCAAATCTGCACAAAGTGTGGAGTCGACCAAAACTGCATTTGTCAGAAAGTAAACTGCATGTCTGAAAACATCCCCAGGTCTAGCTGCTTGATTCCTTTAGTACTTGCTTGTGGCCCTATGTGCCACAGTGATTAGTTATAAATGGCATCTTAGCACTCAGGGAATCTTCTCTCTCTATTTTGCTGCAGCCTTAAGTACAAAAATCAAATTTTAACTGATTGTTACCCCTCTTTGGCCCTGCAGAGCTAACAGAGCTCTGGGAGCACAAGCAGGACCCTACTTCCCTTTTGTGCACCTTTATCAGCGCTGCGGAATAAATTCCTGAGTTGTACCTGCAATCTGAACCGATTGCTACAGTGTATCAAATCGCACAATTTGAATGGCTGGATCTTTATTCCACAAATCATGTGCAAGGAAAAACCCAGCTAGACTCTCGGCCCTCGACACACAAGGTCGATTTTGTTAAATCGGGAGTTCTTAAATCGAATTCAGTCATTTCAAACTCATTTTCTAGTGTAGACGCGGCCTTATAAGGTTGTCTAGGAGTTCGCCAGGCCGGCAGTTAGCCTTCTTTGCAATGATGCCCGTCTGATCTGGAGGCAGGGAACTAAAATAACCTTCTGCCCCCACCATGGCATTTTTCCCAGAGTTGCTTTGAGGAGGAAGGCTGCTCAGTTGCTAGGGCAGAGCTCTCCAGACACCAGTCAGCCAGAGACTGAAGCCATCTGCGTTTTATTGAAACTCGTTGTTCCAATCACACATGAAAAGCAAAACCACAAACACTTGGCAGTGCACAACAGCCGGGCAGGACGTAATGGCCCCAACCCCTCTAAGGGCAGCGCGCACAGTTACTCAGTTCCATACACAGACAAGCTGAGCACCGCTCTGCAGCTCATTTGGGGTCACCTGCCCTTTGGCTTTTCCCTTAGGGCTGCCGGGTACCTAAGCATCTCTCAGAACTGTGCTCGCTCAGCTCCTGCCTGCTCTGTGGCTCCCATTCTCCTCTCAGCCAGAGCGCTGTGACTCAGGAGAGGGGCCCCGGAAGCAAACCGAGCTGTGCTGGGGTGAAACCAGCAGGAGGGGAGAATCAGACCCTGCACGTACATTTTGACAGCAGCAAGAGGTTGCTCTGTGCGCCAGGCCCATTGGAGCAGAGTGAGCTTGGTGCAAACGAGGGACACGCTCTCGCCACGACCAAGCGAGGCCAGTGAAGCCGAGCTCAGCCGGGTACGGAAGGAAAGCTACGCAGCATTCACAGCAGCAGAGCGGTCGTCCCATCTCCGCGCGTGAGGCTCAGACTCCTGAGTAGGGTGGTGGCGACTCCTTGCAGGGCAGTTCTAAGGCTTCCTCGTAGGAGGGCAGCACGGCCTGGAAGGAAGAGATCGTTAGAGCCCCACTCGCGCTGGACACAGGGACATTTCCAACTGGATTTTGCCTTTCCCCGAGAAAGGAGCAGGGAGGGTGCACCAGGGCTTCTGAAGGCCAGAGGTGTAGACAGTTAGAGCGTGTGGCACGGACTGAATCCAGAGCCACTGACTCAAGAGACAGGAAACTCGGCAGCCTCCATAGACGACCCAAGAGTTCTCCTAGCTGGACAGTTGTCACAACTGGCTGACATTTCCAAATTGAAAGACAAAACCAACAAAAATGTTTGAATTCCATTTTTTTTCTGTCCATTTTTGGGGGGGGTGAGAAATGATTTGAGGGGAGGGGTTGCTACTTTTCAACCCTCCTGAGTATCAATATGCTTTTAGGGTGTCTCCCTCTGTCTTTGGGAATGGCCGTTCAGAGGCTCCACTCATAATCCCAGAGCAGCTTTGCTAAAATGATCAGCAGTGAAATAGTTAAAAATATTGACATCCCAGTGAGGCTTTAGATGAGCTGCCCTTGAGATGACTGGGAAAGGATCACGCTTGGTAAGACGCCAACCCAGCAAAGCACCAACCTGAGAGTTGAATTTTAGGCCTGTGCTACTGACTTCAGGGAGAAACTTAGATTCCTAAAGCTCAGCACGGGCTGAAGAGCTTTGCTAGGCTGAGGTCTTAGCACGACGGATTCAGGCTGCCTGTAGATTCAGCGAGACAGCTCTGCATTGGTTCACAGTCAGGTATCTTCTGCAGTAGAGAAGCCTTGATTCAGAGCTACATTCTAGCAGGTTTACATGCAGCCCTGTGTAGCTCCAATGGTTTTACACGTATTGAAACTGTAGTAATGTTGGGGGCAAATGAGACCTTTACACAAGCTTCAATTCTGCATGAAGTAACCCGAACTGCTGGGCCCCCTCTCCAGGCACCCTGCCTTTTTGTGATGGACACCAGGAGCTGGGGTTCAGAATGTCTCACCTTCTCAGCAAACTCCGGCAAGACTTTCACCTCCTCTCTCTTGCTGGCTTTAAGGTGCTTGTAGCATCTCAAGACGCAGTTGAACAGGTAGGCCTGAAAATCAAAGGGGGAAAGAGGTTGGTCATTGCATTATGGCCATAGAGATGCTTTTTCATCCCTGACAAAAGTCGTTGTTTCACAGATCAGCCATTGCAACACTGCCATAGATCCGCCACTGCACGGGGTCATAGAATCATGGAATCTTAGGGCTGGAAGAGACCTCAGGAGTCATCGAGTCCAGTCCCCTGCTCAAAGCAGGACCAACCCCAACTCCATCATCCCAGCCAGGGCTTTGTCAAGCCAGGACTTAAAATCCCATAGGAATGGAGATTCCACCCCCTCCCTAGGGAACCCATCCCAGTGCTTCCCCACCCTCCTAGGGAAATAGTTTTTCCCAATATCCATCCTAGACCCTTCCCCGCACTGCAATTTGAGACCATTGCTCCTCTTTCTGTCATCTGCCAGCACTGAGAGCAACCTCTCTCCATCCTCTTTGGACCCCCCTTCAGGTAGCTAAAAGCTGCTCTAAAATCCCCCCTCACTCTTCTCTTCTGCAGACTAAATAAGCCCAAATCCCTGAGCCTCTCCTCGTAGGTCATGCGCTCCAGCCCCCTAATCATTTTGGCCGCCCTCCACTGGACCCTCTCCGATATGTTCACACCATTTCTGGGGGAGGGGGGGAGCTGGAATTGGATGTGATACTCCAGCTATGGCCTCACTAGTGACGAATAAAGGGGAATAATCACTTCTCTGGATCTGCTGGCAATGCTCCTCCTAATGCACCCTAATATGCCATTAGCCTTCTTGGCTACAAGGGCGCCCTGTTGACTCATATACAGCTCCTCATCCATGGTAATCCCCAGTCCTGGGGAGTGGAGGCCCTAGAGCACTGTCCACCACATGCTTTGGGGCTCGGAACAAGCTGTCTGGGTATGGATCTTTCACCTGGAAGACGGAAGCTCTGCTCTGAATCCCCCCCTCTGAGTGCCAAAGAGTTTGATTGTTCAAGGTGACAGGGCTACTCATGTGGTTGAAGTTACAGTGTTTTCAGACTGTGATGGATCAGGGACAAGATTGACCAGCAAAACTGAGCCCAATATTGGGATGCAGGTCAACGTATTTTACTTTTTTTTTTTTTTTTTGAGTGGGACAGTAACCCAGAAAAGCATTGTGAGCCATAACCCTTGCATCTTAGCCCTCCGGCAGTAACACAAAGGATACTTTCCAAGAGGAATGAACCTGAAAGTTCTGTCCATTTAATTTATTATACTTTCATTAGTTCCACTTTTCTGGTAAAATAGCCTTTGCCCTTGGAGAATTTTATGAGCTTAAATAAATAGACTTTTTCTAGGAAAATAGATCAATTGACAGACTGTGGCCCAAGAAAATAAGCAACGTACCATATTAAATAAACGTTTGCTTTGCGATGTGCAGCAAGGCACAATCATGCATCTCTTGTTTTTATTGGCATGTGCTTTAAAACTACACTTTGGAATGTGCTTGGAAATAAACCCTAAACAGGACATCATTAAAAGACTAAGGATTTTCAAAGGAGCCTTAGGGATTTAGATGCTGAAATCATAACCCTCTGATATAAATGCACTTCTCTGAGGCAATGCAGATCACAAAGCTTAGGCCAAAGCAAGTAGGAGCTGAGACCAAACATTCAAGGGAATGCAGCTGTGGAACGAATGTCCAGAGGAGATCAAGTGAATCCAGAGTCTAGTCATCTTTTGCAAACCCTGCAAAACCCCCTCATGAGAAGCCCCTTGTGCTATAACAATGGCATTTCACAAGGCTGCCCCGGCTTCCTGCTCTTAAACCCCAGCTCTGACACCTCTTTGACCCACGATGTCCTCCCACAATCAGTCATCCAAAATAATTACCCTGAAACAAATCAACCTAAAAAAACTGCAAAGATCCCAAGCAAAACTTTTACCCCCAAAAGAGAAAAGTGCCAGATGCTCCACAAATTCCACTAAGGACCCTGTTGAAACTGGGGGGACCTGGACACATAGCTGTCCTGGATCTCTTCGCAAGTCTCAGCCTATTGGGAAGAGCCTGCTGTCCAGGATTCCAGTCCCAACCTGGATAGCTGCACTAAATGTGACACTGGAATTTGCGTGAATTTCATCCAGTTTCAGTGTCAGCAGAACCTTTCCCTAAAAAATCTGACTGGTTGTGTCTACACTGGCACCCTTTTCCGGAAAAGGGATGCTAATGAGACACTTCGGAATTGCAAATTCCGTGGGAGATTTAAATATCCCCCACGGCATTTGCATGAACATGGCTGCCGCTTTTTTCCGGCTCGGGGTTTTGCCGGAGAAAAGCGCCAGTCTAGACGGGATCTTGCGGAAAATAACCCCGTTTCCAGAAGATCCCTTATTCCTACTTGAAAGTAGACTTATTTTCCGCAAGATCCCGTCTAGACTGGCGTTTTTCTCCGGCAAAACCCCGAGCCGGAAAAAAGCGGCAGCCATGTTCATGCAAATGCCGCGGGGGATATTTAAATCCCCCGTGGAATTTGCAATTCCGACTGGTCTCATTAGCATCCCTTTTCCGGAAAGGGATGCCAATATAGACACAGCCACTGTGTCTGGAAAATGTCAAGACCGGCCAGGCTAGGCAGTGAATTCGGGGTCATCCTTTTATACAATTGCGCAGTGTAAAATTTGAGGCCTGCCGCTGTGTCCCTGAAAACAAAGCCTGGTTTTGTTTTCCAAAACAAACCAATATGGCGCCCTAATCCCAAATGTGTCCGTATAAATCCACCTGCTTCTTGTAACTGCAGGATTGGGGGAGGGGAATTGCATTGCTGGCTAGAAACTCAGGTAAAACATCTTTCAGCCTAACAGCAGGATGACTGAATATAGGCCATTTGGGCCAGCGCGAAGGCAGTTCAGTGCTGATCTGCCATCCAAATTCAATGGGACGTGAATTCTCTGGTATCTGATGAAATCCTAGTCTCAAAGCTCCTTTGCACAGTGGGAGAGGGAAGGACTGGTCCCCCTGGAGGCTGCTGGCGGCCGGTGGGCAGTTCTGGGGGGGGGCAGGTTTGGGACTCGGGGGGTTGAGAGTGCTGGGTGGGAGGAGGATAAACTAGATGGTGTGATGGGATATATCCCACACCAGCCCTGACAGGTTTAAAAAGGGGCCAATTAGCTCACCTGGCATCACATGTGAGAGGGAGGGTCAGTATCAATTGTGAATGATGCCCAGCTGGGGGGGCTGGGGTTCAAGCTAAAGCCAGAAAGCAGAAAGAGCTGCAGACCCCATGGGAGGTCACTCAGAGCAAGCGCAGGGGAAAAGAAGCACGGGGGGGGGGGGGGGGGGAGGGAGAAGAAGCGCCTGCCGTGGAGTACGGGGTCTGGAGCGAGGTTAATAGTTCTGGAGTTGGGTAGGTTCCCAGGGTAAACCTGGCGCAGGCAAGAAGAAGGTGAAAGGTTAGGGAGAAGCTCAGGGAAACAGCACCAGGGACAGGGACTGAGGACCTGCTTGCTGGTTGTAGGGTCCCGAGGCTGGAACCTGGAATGGGGCAGGCTGAGGATCCCCTGCCAGCCCCTGGCTTACTGACCTAAGGCCCAGAGCTGGGCTGAACACCAGCTGGCGATGACAGACAGGCAGTGGGACCATGGGACTCTGTAACCCTGGAGAGGGTGGACAGCGGTGACCTGGAGGGCCAAGTTCCCAGCAGACTACGGCAGAGCGAGAGATGAGCAGCCGGCTCAGCAACAGTCGCATTCCCTGAGGGGTGTGCCAGGAGGCGGGCTCTCCAGGAGTGGCAGCTTGTGACTGGCGGAGCTCACTGAATGCAAGGGAGGCTCGTCGTGGCTAGGAAAGGGCTGAGGATTCAGCACCAGCTGATGGAGGAGTGGAGGGGGTGCCAGGCGAGAGTGCAGGTAGGATGGCAGATGGGAGTGAGTAGATATGACTGGCCAGGTCCGTGACATTTGGATCAAACCCTCATTGGCCCAGCCAGGACAGCAGGACTGACCCAGCAAACTGGAGTGATCCCAGCAAATCTGGGGGCTGGTCATTTCAGCCGCTGAGGAAAAGAGAAGCATGAGCACAGATGTTCAGTGGCAAGGAAAAGGCTTTGAGGGCCTACCCCCGGGCCTATATTCCCTGGATCGTCCTTCTTCCCTTTTTTGAAGATGGGCACTTCATACATTTGCCTTTTTCCAATCTTCAGGGATTTCTCCCAATCTCCACAACTTTTCAGAGAGAATGGCCAAAGGCTCCCAAATGACATTTGCCAACTCCCTCAGTACCCTCGGATGCATTAAGTCCGGACCCATGGTTTGTGTCCATTTAGCTTTTCTAAATAGTTCCTAACCCGTTCTTTACCCACCAAGGGCTGTCCATCTTCATCCCATCTTGCGTCACTTAGCACAGAAGTCCAGAAGCCGACCTTGTCCGTGAATACAGAGGCAAAGAAAGCATTGAGTACTTCAGCTTTCTCCACATCATCTGTCACTAGGTTACCTCCTTCATCCA